ATAATTAATAAATTTGAGTTTTTTATATTAAAATATAATATTTTCTAATAAAATATTAAATATGTATAGTAAAAAATATATTAAAATGTTATATTTTGGATTTCGGGTTGATTCGGATTTGAAGGATACCGATCCGATCCGATCCGATCTAAAAATTCAAAATTTGTTAAAAATTCAATCCGATCCAATCCGAGAATTCGAACCAAATTTTAAATTTCGATTTGATTCGGATTGAATTTTCGAATTTCGGATATTTGCTCACCCCTACTAGGGAGATTATATTAACAAGAAGTTTGCAAAGTTTTGGAATTTGAAAGTTTTTAAAAATAATTAAAAAATTAAAGAATTATTGTGATATGTAGTAAAAAAAGTATTTGATATGATATATATTTTTTAAAATAAATAATAATAATTAATATAAAAAATTATAAAATATTTATATAAATAGTGTCCGGTGCAAACTTGGCTAGTCATGTCAAATAATAATTACTACTACTATTATTATTGTTTAAAGACTTTAGGGGTGTGTTTGTTTGTTTATTTAGGGATTTTTTCCAAATTCTACTATTCATTTCATTTTTTTTTTTTCAAAATATCAAATTAAATATTTATTTTTTATTTTTTATATTATACTAAAAATTAATTTTACATTCAAAACATCACATCAACACCTATTTATATCATATCATACAACTATTCACATTCAAAATTTTTAATATTCAAATCTCAATCCAAAATCCAAACCCCCAAACAAACACACAATGTAGTATGAAAAAAATATACTTATATATATATAGATGTGAATATGAAGAAATTCCGTCCAATTTGAAAATATATGTTAATTTGGTGCAAAATTTAAAAAATAATAGTATTTTAATTATAATGAGTCGTTAAATGTAATGTAAATATAATTTTAACCTTTTTTTTTTTTTATGTAAAAGTAATAATACGATGCTAAAGTAAAAGTATTTATAAAAAAAAAGAGATATTTTTAAAATCATTACTTTGTAATTGAATATTTTAAAATATAAATATATATACTTTATAAGTGGACGAATGAAAATATATCAATTTTACTCTTTCAACATATATTGATGAACATTATCAAATAAAATATTAGCTGAATTTTGAACTAAACAAGTTGAATGATATATTGAAACTTCTCATTTGACTTGTAAATGATTTATAGCTCTATCAAAATGGCAAAAACATTAGGGCCTGTTTATTTGGATTGGATTGGGAAGTTTTAATTTAAATTTCATATTTAAATAATATTTGATATAATATTTTGTAAGATTTTTTTTTAATTATTATTATTTTTTAAAAAATATAAAATTCAAATAGTAAAATCTGAAATAAAAAATCAAAGAAATATAGACATAGTAATTAGCATAGCAAAGTTGTAAATGTTGATTGCGCAACCAAATATCATATCGAGCGAAAATTGGTATGCTTGGGTTAGTTATGATTTATTTTATTTGAAACTATTTTTTGAGGATGTCGTAAAAAAATCTCCTACAAAACGTTGGGAATTTATGCACTTGTATTCATTTTCATCATATTCATCGGAAATGTTTTAATTGAGCAACTCCACTTGTTACAATAATTCGTAGCAAAGTCACAATTGTTAGGATTGATAATCCTTATTTGGCCTCTCCTCTCAAGGAGCAACTATTCATGGTCATTACATGGAACTAATGTGTCTTTTTCAAATTTTGATGTAGGAAAAATTCGAATATTTAGGGTGTATTTAGTTTATATATTAAACACAAAAATACCATTCAGTTCCTACAATTCTTCGTAAAATATACTCCCTCCGTTCTAAATATTGTGTCAGGGTTACCGTAAACACGAGAATTTAGGAAGATATAATTAATAAATAATTAATAATGTATTAATAAAATTAATTATAATATAATAAAAATAATTATAAATTAAAATTAAAATAACTAATTAGTCTAATAAAAATTAAAAAAATTATAAATTATACTAAAATTTAAAATATGATTAAAATGTGTTTTTTTCCAAAAAGGAAGTAAAATAATACTTGAGAATGACAAAAATGAAAAATATAAAATTATATGTGAGATGGAAGAAGTATATATATATATAGGACATGTGTAATGGTCAAGATGATCAACGAAGGAGTGCTTTGCAAAATTTTAAAAAGGTAATCATTAGAAAATACCTACCGGAATTAAAATTAAAGAGAATACCACATATTCATTAATTTGATGTAACACTAAGAACCCTTTTTTTTTTTTTTTCCAATTTCCAATTAATCATTATTCAATTATCGAATTCTCCAAAATATATCCTGGAACAAATGAAAAAACAGAAGACATTTGAGAGTAAAGTAACTAATACATTCTCAAGATTAATTCATATATCAACTCAACTCCATCTATAGTAGTACACTTACAAGTTTCACATAATAATTAATTATTAGTGTGACTTCAACTATACTCAATTAACTAATCCCCCAAAAATTAACAAATCAGATTGGGCATAAACACAATGAATTAAGTTGAACTCAAATAATTAATATATATATATATATAATTCATGATGATGATGAAAAGCAAAGTGCAAAGGATAATATATACATATAGAGAGAGAGAGAGAGATGAAACAAAAAGTGAGTAGAGGAAATGATCGATGAGAAGGGGTTTCTGTAATAAGCAAGAAGGTGACCTCAGCAAAAAAAAATAAAAAAAAAAATAAAAAATAATTAATTTTTATAAAAATGAAAAATAAAAAATGAAAAATGAAAAATGGGGACATAGCCATCAAGGCAAGCCATGCGCAATTGCGGGAGCGGTCCCTCTTCCCTCACAACTCCTTTTTGTTTACTCCCTACCTTCTTTTTAATTAATTAATATATATATATATAGCTCTGCTGTCTTTTTATTGTTCTTCTTCTTCTTCTTCATCGTCTTCCTCATACATTCTTTTGTGTTCTCCAAGATTCCCATAAATTGTAGGTAGCTTACCTACACCTGTCCAGACATATCTCCATTTGCCGCAGGTGAGCATTCATTCATTCATGTGTCAATAATTAATTAATTAATATATTGATTAGCAATATATATATATACATATATATAGTTTTCACTTGCATGACAGACACTACATAGAATGCTTATACTAATTTGCTGATACAAAACACACTTACAATAAGTTTAGGTATTGAACTGCTGGTGCAGAAATCTCAATCATATATATATATATATATATATATCTAGAGGGAGAGAGGGAGATCTCTAGAGAGAGAGAGAGAGAGAGAGAGAGAGAGAGTTTATATGTATGTAAGGGTGGTTAATTGTGTGTGTGTGCTGTGTGAAGTAGAGACAAAGAGACAAAAGGGTCAGAGAGAGTTCATCTCCCAAATGGCCATAAAACTGCATGCTTTGCTTTCCACTTTAAATCTATCTATGGTATCAGCTGGGATTAATAATTAATTAATTAATTAATCAATTAATCAGATAATTAACCTCGTCTGTCTGTCTGTCGATCACCCAGTTTCTTGTCTCTTCTCATGCTAAGCTTTCGAAACATTCACAGAAATAGAATAGGACATCTGTTGCTGTTTCTGTTTCTGTTTCATACTTAATAATAAAGAATGGCAAAAGACACAAACCTTACTAATTTATTCTTTGAATTTTATTTAATTTTTTAAATTTCTTTGTTGCAGAAGCTTTATACTTCATTTTACAAAACATCACAATTAAAAATTATTTCATCCGACAAGTAAAATACAAACACAAGAACAAACTAACCCTATTAGTACCATGCATTTTTGTTCTTTTTAATAATGTTTTTTTAACATTCCACTTCAGTATAGTAAACTCATAATTGAATGAAATATAAAATCATAATAAATAAATTACGAATAGATGTATTGATTTACATATATATATATATATTTATATTAATACATTGCTGTTTTATACACTTGTTTTTTGAGAGGTCCTTTCATGTCTTGGAAGGCCTTAATTTAAAAAAAAAAAAACAATGAATTAGTTAATTAAATTTATATATTAAAATTTATATCTCTATAAATGATTTATTTATTTTACTAAAACAATTGCGGTTCTAAAATCTACCAATAATTTAGTAATAAACCCTAAACCCTACGTATTATATTATCAGCTCTATATATAAATTTTGAACTCTAAATAAAAAATATTCTACACAAAAAGTAAATCACCAAATTATATGTTACATATGTCTGTAATTTAAATATGTCAATTTTGTGTGCGGAATGTAATAATCCTTAGCTAAAAAGCTAAAATTGTTTGAAATAAAAAAATATATAAAGTAAAATATAGGAGATAATATCGGATACATATATGACATAGTATAGATCGATTTATCACATCACCGTTAATCTGAAAGTAGTTACTGTGATGAAGTGATTCCATCTAATTTAGAAACTTTTTACAGACAATCCCTGCTGCATGAATTCATGTAGACCCTACCCACACCCCACCCAACCCACCCTACACAAAACATGATTCGACAGGATCGAAATCCAATTACCATACATACATTTTGCACAACAATATTGTAAAGTTGAAAAATATAAATATAAATATTAACCATATATATATATATATGTAGTGGATGGAGTGTCATTTACCTTCACCAGCACAGCACACAAGACAACATCATTACTTGTCCGTTTTCCATCGCCAACCCTCTCTCTCTCTCTCTCTCTCTCTGACTTTCTCACTCTTGGTTTTCAGCAGGAGCAATTCCTCATCATTAATTTTTTTTTTATTTGGGGGGGTGGGGTTGGGGGGTTCAAATTTCTTTATTTTCTTCTTCATCTCTTATTATTCTATGGATGAACAAACATATTTATATGTAAAGAAAATGAAATTTGTAAAATGGAAAAAACAAGCATTATCTTTAAGCCACGCGTTTATGAACTTTAGAGAGAGAGAGAGAGAGAGAGAGAGAGAGAGAGAGAGAGAGAGAGAGAGAGAGAGAGAGAGAGAGAGAGAGAGATGAATTGTGAAGAGAAGAAGGGATTGCAAATGAGCTGATGATTATATCTGAGCAGCACTTGTCATCTTTTCATATGTAGCCTTCATAATTAAACACCCCTTCTCTCACCTCTTCTCTCTCTCTCTCTCCATCCATCTTTTGCAGTTTCTTTGCCCCTCAACTTTATAATTTCTGTGCACATATGCGTGTGTCTATATATATATATATATACATACACACACTAGGTAGCTTGAGTCCAATCAGAATTATGATTCAGAGATGATGGAGTAAAAGATACATACGTTTTTATAGCCTTGAAGTTGACTCCATTTCTGTCCTGCTGCTGCTGCTGCTGCTCTCTGCTCGTAGTGGTGGTGGCGGTGGTGAATTTTATGCAGCTCAGTTACCTACCTACTGCCTATATATAGATACATATATATATGTGTGATGGATAATACGGCGGCGGCGGCGGCGGCGGAATCTTCTGTTCCTCCCGGATTCCGATTCCATCCCACCGATGAAGAGCTTGTCGGCTACTATCTCAGGAAGAAAGTCGCCTCCCAGAAGATCGATCTTGATGTCATCAGAGATATCGATCTCTACAGGATTGAGCCATGGGATCTTCAAGGTACCTATACTCTCTCTCCTTCTCTCTCTCTTTCTCTCTCTCTCTCTCTCTCTCTCTATTAAAGATTATCCATGGTTTCGTGTGTTGATGCATTAGGGTTTTCGTCTTAAAATCAGTTCATGAGTTTATACATATATATATACATATACATATCATTTTTTTTCATGCCCCTGATAAAATTCAAATGAATAGGTTCTTGTTTATTATTGTTGGAAGATTATCTAATATATCATTAATGATATATATAAATTTAAATTTTTAGGTGAGATGATTATTTAACAATTTTCAAAAATAAATTAATTTTGTTCGTGTTCTAATTTAATTTGCACAAGAAAGATTAATTTATCCGAAATTGTAAAAATGTAATGTTAACCATTTCTCTAAATAAATTTGTAATCTTTAACTCGAGACTACTTCATAAAAACATTGGTGATCCCTCTATAGACAAAAACCCTCATACAGAACACAAATTATTCATCATTCATGGTAATAATCTATGATGCTATCTTATAGAACTATATACACTTTTATTCAATTAAATTATTTTCAAGATCAATGATCAGCACAAGCCTATGAACAATGGTTTAACAGAAAAATGTCGAATCGGATACGAAGAGCAAAACGAATGGTATTTCTTCAGCCACAAAGACAAGAAGTACCCGACAGGAACCCGAACCAACAGAGCAACCATTGCCGGGTTTTGGAAGGCCACCGGAAGAGATAAGGCCGTGTTTAATCGAAACAAGCTCATCGGCATGAGGAAGACTCTTGTCTTCTACAAAGGTCGAGCGCCAAATGGACAGAAAACCGACTGGATTATGCACGAATACCGGCTCGAATGCGATGAAAATGGCCCTCCACAGGCAAGTTCAAGTACATATGTGTTTAGAAATAATTCTAACTGTTCAAGACAACATCAAGAAATTAAAATACACAAAATTTAACATAGTTCTTCTCAAATATAATGTTTGGAAGATAAAATTAACCGGCCTACGATCTACTCTATAGGTGTGCTTAGGTTCATGGGATTATTATTGAAGACTTAGTGCTCCTACTTTTCACTTTTATTAATACTTAGCGTTTTGTTTTACATAGTTTTATTTTATCCAACTTAATCATATATAATTGTTACAGCATTTACACAAAATAAAATAAAATCTTTTAAGTATAGTTACATATTATAATTTTATCATGCACATGTGAAATTAATGTGAAAACTCAAGACTATCTACATCACATTTTACTGATTGTCATCATGATCAAGTGCATAGGATTAAGTAAAAAAGACACACACACACATATATATATATATATAATATACATATCACATATGCCTGAAGTATTGATGATGGAAAAATTACAAATTTATTCATATACTTTATTTCGATCTTATAACCCTCTTTAGTTTTATTTCCATCTTACACTTTATTTTACAGAAAAATAAAAACTCCATTTTCTTGTTATAAGTCTCGCAATTTGCATACACAATTTTATTCTTTATGACCCAAAATAGAACTGATAAAATATACAAGTTAACAGTGATGATTAGCTTTATTAGATTATTTAAATTTGAAATTTTCACAAATATTCATCAAAAAAGGGCGACTTCTTTTTTTTTTTTTTCCAAGTTGTGAGGCATGCAAGACTTTTAGCTTGCATGTTAGGTGACATATATGCACTCTTGATCTTTATTATAATTTATATTATAACACTATGCATATGCATGTCTGAAAGTGATTGGTGTGAGGTTTAATTCCTTGGCTCTTAGTAGTCAAAAGCCACTACTTTTTTCAGCAAATCAATGTGCTCTCCATTTGCAGCCAACTTTTTTTACTTGCATGAGTTCTAACAAAAAGTGTTTGCAGACAAGAAAACCATCGAATTAATTAATTTGGACAATTTGCATTTCTTCACATATATCATCACTCCATTTTTATTTTTCTTTTGGTCCTTTAATGGTCCATCTACTTTCGACTTCACTCTCACTTTTGTAACTAATATTCATCGTTTGATGTACTAATTTTAGGTTTGTTTTAACTTTCAAATAAAATGTATGGAATTTTCTAAATTTGCTAACAATTATAATAAAAATGGTATTTAGGACAATCGATCGATGTACACTAAAACCCTTTATATATAGTTCGACATAGCGATACATTCGATTTATATTCCTCGGCTTCTTGTAGGAACATAGGAATAATTTTCTCCACAATTATATACTCTTTTTTTGTTTCACTTTTCTTATTTGTCTGTCATATATAACAAAAATAGAGTTTTTTTTTTTTTTTTGTTCTTTTTAGTAAAAAATCGTACCATTTTTTAATACTAACCATTCTTTTTACTATATAAGACAAAAAGTACACATCACATTAAAACTCATACTCAAATCAAATAAGTCTATTTTGACATGACGCAGGGATTACTAAGTAACATTATAATTATTCCTTGTAGGAAGAGGGTTGGGTCGTTTGCCGGGCTTTCAAGAAACGGGCGACCGGGCAAATGAAGAGCAGCGTCGAAGGTTGGGAGACATACTACTACGACGAGCCAAGCCATGCTATTAGAACCGCGGGTTTGGACTCCATCGACCTGATAACAACAAGACAACCTAAGGAGCAACAACCTCAACATCACTCGAACTACCTAAGCCAGAATTTGATCTGCAAGAAGGAGACAGAATCCAATGAGAACTTATTACATATCCTCCAATCGAACGATGATCCATTTGTGCAGCTCCCGCAGCTGGAAAGTCCATCACTACAGCCGCCGCCACCGGTGAAAGCAGCACTGGTTGTTTCTCCGGCTGCCCGAGAAGATATCAGTAAGAATGGAGGTGATTCGAAGAAAGTTACGGATTGGAGAGACCTCGACAAATTTGTTGCATCTCAGCTGAGCCATGGAGAGGGGGTGGAGGCCGGGGTAGGGTTCGATAGCCATGGTGATTATTCGGATTTAGGGTTTCTGCTGCTGCAGAGCCAAAGTTGATGAATGAAGCTTCTATAGTCTATATATATATATATACATATATATATATTTGAATAATTGAAATATTGTTTGTGGTAATGAAGGAGGCATACTAACGTTGTCATTTGATATATATATATATATATATGTTTTGTATGTATGTGATTTTTGTGAAAACTAAGAGATCTCTCTCTCTCTATATATCAATTAATAGTGCATCCATATATGTTAATGATTTATGAATTATTGAATTTTTACATTATACCAATCTCTTTCTATTTTAATTTGTATAGTTTCTAAATTTGGAATGTTATTGTGATCCCATGCATATGTGTTTGTATGCCGCATGTTAGGATGCCGATTGAGTGAAATCAATACTGTGTTAATTTTATCAAATCAGCATCTATATTCAAAATAAACAAATACATATTTCTACATAGTTATGTAATATAGAAGTATGTGTTGTATAATTTTATATTTGTATTTTTCTATATAAATATATCTATTGAGATATGTTGAATTATATTATATGATGACACTTAAATAGTTATGCATGAACTATATAGTAGAAAAATAATATGTATTTTTTTATTCCATTGAAACAGTAGAAAGAAAACAAGTTCATGCATATATATCTATATATATATATATATGAAAGAATTTATTTATCTAATGATGATTTTGCAACTCATTTTCCATCACATCTTTAATTTCCAAAGCAATAAAATATTTACAAAGAATGAATAATAGTTACTTAATTTGATCGTACATATTGCAATCAAGTGGTTTATTGTACATAAACACACACACACACTTTATAGATATATATATATATATATGCAAGAAGAACCAATTGATAATTTGAAATTTATAATTTCTCATTTGATAAGCTATAAAATGTGTCACACAACAAGTAGTTAATTGAATTAAATTGAAAGAGAGCACATATAAATTATAAATTATAAATAGCAGACGACAGAAAAAAGTTCCCACTGCCACAGTACTGATGAAGACGACGAAAGGGTCCAAAAGTAGTCAGACATAATATTTTGTTCGTAAAATAATAAAACAAATATTATAAGTATATATTATTACTTGGTCCAATGACCAATAACAACTCAGAAATCAAAAAGGTCGAATTTTTTTTATATAAATAAATGAAATTAGGTGAAACTGAAATAAATAAATAAATAATATAACGGGGGGCGTGGGGCCCACGGCTGTCGAGCATGCGCTGTGCAAACGGCTTCCATTTTCATGCTTTGTCGCTCAGTTGAAGTCCCCCCACCCATTCACTTCCATCAAATAATAATAATTTTAAATAATCAGATAATATGATTGAATATATATTGAGAAACCAAAATATATGGTATTTATGTAATAAATAAATTAAAATATATGGTATTTTATGAATTTTTACGATAAATAAGGGAATGTTATATTATTTACCAAAAAAATATATATATATTAAATATTTTAAACCAAAATGAAAGGGAAAAAATAAAATAAAATAGTACACTTTTCACAATCCTTTTTGACTTGATTTACTATTTTCAATTAATAATGAGCAATGATACTGTTTTTATTTTTTCTTTTTACTTTTTATTCAGTCCCTATAGAAAGATGCAAGTATATTACTTTTAAAAACTCTAATCAAATTTTTGAAAAGGAATCACGCTTTAATATGAATAATATTACAATGATTTTGATGAAAGCATTTGCTTCGTATGTTAGTGCCTTAGTGGGACAATGTGCAATTAGGGTTGTTATTCAAGTCGAAATCTCATTTTCAAACTTGATTCAAGTTTTAATCGAATTAAGCTAAACCTTGCTACTTTCATTAACAAAATCAATTTAATCGAGTCAAAGCTTACTATTTTCATAAACAAACGCATTATTAGTTTATTTATTTACATACGAGAGTCAACCAATATATCCTTTCACATACAAGAAGATATATGCGAGACTTGGATGTGAACGATAACATATGGAAACAGTGGAACTCAAACTCGAGAACTATGACTATTATTGAAAAAATGACAGAATTATTATTTTTTTCATTTTTCAAAAATTTTTTGGCATAAGACCAAGATTGCAAGTTTGTGTTGTAACTTTTGATTGACGTTATTTTGGGAAATCTGCCGACATAGAGAAATTTACCAAGTTGATCACTTAAACTGTATTGAAATGTGTCTTATATACATTGGAATGACACAAACAAACTTGTCTAGTGAAGAAGACATGCAGGAGAAGTCAATGATGTGTCTCTTTCGTTCCGCATGACATTAATTGTCTTGAATACACTATTCCAAAGTTGTGTATAGACTAGCCTGGTCAAACCTGTGCTGAGTTTTGTGTTCAAATTTGAACATAGTGAGTGAATTAGGTTTGTTTCATACACTTATTCAGTGAAATTTTTTCTTCTCACTTCAAAGAGTTGAGAGCTGCTTCGATGACGATTGGAAACTATGAAGAAGAAGGAGAAAAATGAGTTGGAAATGGAGGAGACAACCAATATGAAATCAACCTTACTCTTAGTTTGACTGCGAGTTTGCTGAAGTTGTTATTGTAATGTAACAATCCGTCCGTCTATATTTGTAAAACAAAGAGGAGCTTAGGTAAAGAATAAGTTAAGTCAATTTTTTTTGTGTCTTAAATGGTGTAAACAAAGTATTTGATTTAGTGAAAAGTTTCTGAGTTGATATCCCCATATGTAGATATTTACACCTAACTGGGTCAAAAACCGTATGTTGTTTGTTTTTATTTTGCACTTTTTCACCCATAGAATTGTACACATACACACTATAGTTTCAACTATGCGTTCAAAGTTGTATCAACCATTGACAATTATATTCCCGTTGCATATAAAACTTCAAGGCGTTGAACCTCTTTTTGGACTAATTCGAATATCCAATTGCTCTAATACAAAATTAGATGATTTAAATAAGTCTCCTTTAACATGAATAATATCCTATCATTTACTATTGAATGAAACACCACTGGTAACATGTTGATAAAGAAATAAAAAAATAAAAATAATAACTGACCCGGACGTGGGTATGGCAATGGGTATGGACTCGAGACCCAACAATACCCGACCACACTCGGACCCGGACCTGGGTGGTATGGCAATGGGTGAAAGTCATCTAATATGGTATTTGAAATAATACCTGGACCTGGATCTGATCCGAACAATACCCAAAAAGATCCAATGGACCCAATAGACTCGAAATATTTTTTTTACAATTCTTAAAATTCTACTTAAAATTGGAATCGAACTGTGACCCGGACCCGACATGTATTAAAATTTATATATTTTATTCCAAAATATTATATATTTTGTCCGCTTTACTGTAGACACGAGAATTTACGAGGGGTATAATTAGTAAATAATTAAAAATGTATTACTGAAAATAATTATCATATAATAAAAATAATTATGGATTAAAATTAAGATAATTTATTAGTATAATTAAAATTAAAAAAATTATAAATTAATTTTTTTTAAAATAAGATTTAAAGTGTTTAATTTTTTTCCAAAAAAAGAAAATGACAAAATAAGTGGGATAGACGGAAATGGAAATATGGACATGAGATGTGGGACGGAAGGAGTATATAAATTAAACTAAATACATATTTTTAATATAATTTATATTATTAAAAATTAATTTTTTCATATATATAATTAATATATTAGTAATATATTAATTGAGTCCGAGTAGGGTCCACGCATGGACCCGAGACCCGACCTAGTCCCGATAAGGATACACAATATTCGACCCGAACCTAGACCTGATACCTAAATAATTGAACCCGATCCGAATTTGGTCTCGCGTCTGCTCGAAACTACTGTCATCTCTAGTACGGTTCCTCCGGCTGTTTGTGGCCTATAGTTGTTTAATTATTTTATATTTAATAAATATAAACAATTATATTTACACTATATAATAGTATATTATATTTATATATATGTATTTGATTAATTATACTATTTAAATTTTGTTATATAAAATTTTATTTAATACTTACTTATTGCTTTTATAAAAATAATTTTTTAAATATATTATTTTAGAATTAATTAATTTGTACTCTCTGTCCGAGCTCAATGAACATTTTTAGTATTTTTGTTCGTTCACTACCTTTTTTTTATAAAAGTAATTATGCACTAATATTAAAATAATTTAGCTTTTACTTATATTACAAATTACTTTATACATAAAAATAAAATAAAAGGATAAAAATATCAAAACCTCTTACACTCTCACTAACAGTAAAATAATATTATTTCTTAATCTATTACAAAATCCCAAATAATCTACGTGGAACCAATGGAGTAAATATATTGTAATCTTACATATTTTATTATTAAATTTAAATGTAAAATTTTAATTAATATGTGAATGTGATGCATAAAAAAATTTAATTTTTTTGTATTGATAAAGAATAAAATAATTTTATTTTAATCAAATATTATAAAAATAAAATATGATGAGAAAGTATAATTTTATCTTTTTAAATATATGAAATATTTAGTGAGATAGAAAATATAAAGATTTTAGCATTATTTTTTTTGTGCGTGTGAAATAAAATTAAAAATATTTTTTACTATCTTTTTATTTTTTTTATTTTTTCAATAAAATATCTATTTTTTTTTTTTTTTTAATTCGCATGTCGAGTTCAAATGGTTTAAATTTTCGAGATGGAATGATTAATTTTTTTCCAAATTTTCCCATTTCTGAAGTTTTCTCTGTTCCACCGTGAATACAGAAATTACTAAAAAGGAAAGTACTTAAATCACAAAAAATACTTGATTTAATTAAGGTTTAGGGCTTTTGTTTCTTTTTTTTCACTATGTATGTTCTTAGCAAAAGTTTGCATAACAAAGCCCAACTCCATAGCATGTATGATGCCCAAATGTCAGTCAGTCTAGTATTCTTCTGTATTCTCATTCATTCTACTGGGCCGCCCATACCGGGTTTGTTTCTTTCTATAACCAAACACCTTCAAACATTTTTTTTTTTTTCTTTTCAAACTCATTGTAATATTTTTAAATTTAAAAATAATTAAATAATATTTATATATATAAAATATTCACTTCATTTTGTCTTATCACATCACTCAAATAAAAAGATAAATAATTATTTTTTTCTCAAATCAAATCACTTAATATCAGAATTATCTTAAATTACTATTCTTAATACTTTCCAGGCCAAACACAAATGTTAATACAATATTTGGAATGGAGGGAGTATTTTTATTTTTTTTTAATATTCGATCGAATATCATTTTAATATCAAATCCTAATCAATTACACCTAACTTTTTACTAAAATGTACTCCTCCGTCCCAAACACCTTGTCTGCTACACTGTAGACACGGTATTTTAGGAAAGGTGTAATTAATAGATAATTAAGAATGTATTAGTGAAAATAATTATCTTATAATATAAATAATTATAAATTAAGATTAAGATAACTAATTAATTTAATTAAAATTAAAAAATTTAAAATGAAATTAAAGTGTATAATCATTTTTAAAAAAAAAAAGAAAATGACATGATACGACAACGTGGACAAAGTGTCTGGAACGGAGGGATTACTATTTAACTAACTACTTGCACACCATTTCTACGAAAAGAGACAAGTATACGTATACACGAGCTCAAACAAACTAGTATCGATCGACAGAGAAGAAAAAGAGAACCCACATATCTGTCTACCAATCTATCATAACATTACTATTACTATTACTATATATAATTGTCACTATTGTCTCGACTGCACTCAAGAAGCATCATCATATCCATATATATACACATACACAGAAACCCTAATTACAGTAGCAGATAATTACACGACACAACACACCATAATTATGAACACCCAAATTAATAGTCACACACTAGTTTAATTTTCTTACCTGCCTTCTTAGCATTCGGCGACTTTATGCTCTTCGGCTGCTTCGCCTTCGCCGGAGTCGTCTTTCTTTTCTTCCCCACTTTCTTCGCCGCCTTGTCCTCCTTTTTGCCTGCAGCCTCCTCTGATAATTTGTATGAAGCCTTGATTTTAATAAGTTTCCCCTTACCAACACAATTCTTCAGTTGGAGGTTCAGAAACTTCCGGAAATTGGGCGGCAAAACGGCGCCGTATTTCTGTTCCATGCATTTTGCAATTGCGTACGGACTCGACCCGCTCTTCTCCTTTAATGCCGCCAGCGCTTCCTTTATCATCTGCAAATCCAATCAAAATCAAATCAACAACCAAATCAGTTAGTGTAATTTAAAATCAACAACAAATGAAGAAATTATCAAAACAGATCATGTATGTATCTATCTATGCGTGTTTGTAATACGTTTATGCGTACCTCAAAGTAGGGCGGGTGGGAAGCAGCTGTTTTGATGGTTTTGGAATTGGCTTCTCCATCCTTCGCCGGCCGGGGCTTCCTCTCCGCCGCGGCTTTCGCAACTTTTCCTGACATTTTTCGATTTCGAGAAAGCTCTGGATTGCAAGGGTAACAGTAACTGTCTCTGTCATAGGAGATGGTTTTTGTGTATTTAAACAGGGGAGGAGAGAGGGAGGATCGGCGTGATTCATGATGGCTGAATTTTATTGGCTGATTTGAATTCGAACGGATCGGATCACGGCAGTTGTTCACGTGTACGAATCAGAGACGTAGATCGCATTTCGAATTAGGATCAAGATTGTCATAGTACCCTTCCGCATATGGAAAATGTCTTTTTTTTTTTTTTTTTTTTTTTTTTTTAATTTTAATTTGTATATATTAAAATAACAAATAAAAAATTTATTAGACGAAGAAAGTTTTACTATATCGTTCCCAAATCAAAATGGTGTATTTTATTAGTCAAGTAGAAATAACTTAAGTTTTTAAGTTTTGGACATTTATAAAGGAATGCTATTGATTGTCCAAAAAGGTCCAAATATTAGGTATTAGAAATACAGGAATGAGAAGTTGTGCTGGGATTGTCTAGAAACCATGTTGATTCAATCAAGAACTCTTGGATTGAATTATTAAGATGAATTCAACATTAAGAAGATAAACCAACATAGAAATTATATCAGTATTTTTTTATGATAACGTGAAAATCCGCACCTATGATTCGTAAATGCGACCTCCGATTCGAAAATGCAGATTGGCTAAACTTCCGACCGAACCTAAATGATCCGAACATGGTGACATAAATCAATATCCAACATCTTATATCCAAACGCGAATTTCACCTAACACCCCTTAAATCACATGATCAGTTATTACATGTAGTGTCGGCGCTAAAGGGCAAATGTATACGACCTCTCCCTCTTCGAATTTCCATAACGGAGGTTCCATCCCATCCAGGTTATCAAGAACAGATATGCAGATCCTAATCTCACTACAAGATCTGCAAGATATCTATCAATCAAGCCAAGAATTCATTCATATTACTATTAAATTAAGAGATGGGCAAGGTGCAGAGGTTCAATAAAAATAATATCCACCCCCGCCCACAGCATGGAACACAATACAATACAATTCAATATTACTAGAGTGAGTGTGTTCTTTCTAGACCAGTCAAGATTAAGATCAAGATCAAGATCTCACTGACATTCCTGAAACAGGGGATGATGATGATGAATTGATGATAGATTCATAAATAACTTATACTACTTCATAACTTGAGATATGAATTGCCACATTGATGAATAGACAAACAAATTCCACCAAGAACTCATCACTCAACATAATCAAAACTCCTCATCAAAATACATCAACCGAATATCGAATCGAATGCAAGAACAACTAATTAATCAAATCTGGGTTGGCATTGGCATTGAGAAGAACTCAAATTCATTTTCACATCCAAATTCAAGTATGTATGTATGTATGTATTATCAAAGGAATGAGGGAAGGAAGAACTAACCCAAACAGGATCCGGATCCGGGTCAGGGTCAGGGCTGCTGCTGGGCATCCATGTAGCCTGCATCGACCAAAACCTTCTCCCTCTTGGCCAGTTCAATGTCCTCGTCCACCATCATCTTCACCAGCTGCTCGAACCCGACCCGGGGCCTCCAATTCAGGACCCTCCGGGCCTTGCTGGCGTCCCCTTTGAGGTTGTCCACCTCCGCCGGCCGGAAGTAGCGCTTGTCGATGGCCACGTGGTCCTTCCAATTCAGCCCCACGTACCCAAACGCCACTGCCAGGAACTCCTCCACCGTGTGGGACTCCTCCGTCGCCACCACGTAGTCGTCGGGCCTCTCCTGCTGCAGCATCAGCCACATCGCCTCCACGTAGTCGCCGGCGAACCCCCAGTCGCGAGACGCCTGCAGATTGCCGAGAAACACCTTGTTCTGGAGGCCGATCTTGATCCGGCCGACGGCGCGTGTGATTTTGCGAGTCACGAAATTCTCGCCGCGGCGGGGGGACTCGTGGTTGAAGAGGATCCCGTTGCAGGCGAAGATGCCGTAGGCCTCGCGGTAATTGACGGTGTACCAATGGGCGGCGCACTTGGAGGCGGCGTAGGGGGAGCGGGGGTGGAAGGGGGAGGTCTCCGATTGGGGGGGCGCCGTGGATCCGAACATCTCGGAGGAGCCGGCCTGGTAGTACTTGATGTGGGAGCGGCCGGTGTCAGCGATGTGGGAGCGGACGGCCTCGAGGAGGCGGAGGGCGCCGGTGGCGACGACGTCGGCGGTGTAGTCGGGGATCTCGAAGGAGACGGCGACGTGCGACTGGGCGGCGAGGTTGTAGACCTCGTCGGGGCGGATGGTGTCGAGCCAGCGGCGGAGGGAGGAGGCGTCGGTGAGGTCGGCGTAGTGGAGCTTCATGAGGGCCTTGTGGGCGTTGTGGGGGTCGATGTAGATGTGGTTGATCCGCTGCGTGTTGAAGTTGGAGGATCGACGGATCAGCCCGTGCACCTCGTAACCCTTTTTAAGGAGGAATTCCGTCAGGTACGATCCGTCCTGCCCAGTGATCCCTGTGATCAGGGCGATTTTGCGCGCATTGTCGGATTTCTCAGATCCGGCCGGAGTTGTGTCGGCGGCGGCGGCCATTGAAGGGGGTTTGTTGTGCTTTGGGAAGTGTAGAAGGGGGAAAATATATTGACGGGGAAGGGGAAATGGGTAGGGGTAGTTTTGTAATTATGTTAATAGGGGAATGAATTTTAGTTGTGTGTGACTTTTAAGAATTGAAATTTGAAAATAAAAATTACAATTAAAATACTCCTTAGATTTTATATTAGATTATAAATAATACTCTTATATATATATATATAAAATAAAGTAATATTTGGATATTAGTACAAGAATTTAGTTAGATAGAAGAATAAAATGAAAATTAGATGATACGATGAGAATATATTTTCTTTGTCCAAGCAAAAAATATACATTTATTTTTGGGTAGAAGTTTAAAAAATAATAGTAAAAGTAATGTAATGATATTTTTGTTCATATGATATGAAATAAAAGTATTTGTGAAAAAAATTGAAGTATCTAATGAAATAATTACGTCATAAATTAAAAATATGTATATTTGTAACTGGAAGAAGAGTATTATATTTACTTTTTAATATATTATCTACTTATTATTTTTATATTATTTAAATAATTTTCTATATTTCACATTAAAAAAAATTCATTCAAACAAAAAAACACAAAACAAACACAATCTAAATATTTATTATTTACTTGTTTATTTATCATTTTTAAAACTCTCTCATATACATCTAAACTTTTTAGCTCCATCGAATATGAACTGCTTGGGTCAATTTAATTTAGAGTAGGCTTATAATTTCTGCTCTTCAAAACAGTTGAAATTTGAAGCTTTCTGCCAAATTTCTAATTGACATAAATGAGGATGTGAGGGTTATTTTATGAGCAACGTGGGATGATTAGTAGTGCGGGGAGTGAACTTGTGATCGTGAAGTTCAAACTCCGATGTGTCAAGATCCATCTATCACACATGGTTCGCTTAGTATAACTTATCATATCCGATTTAATTTGCAGGATATTAGATTTGACCGAAGTTTATCCGGTGCGTACTTTTGGATAATGACTTTAATGTCATGCATGCGGGATAATGGATCAGAGTCATATTCATTAAATGCAAATGTTGATGATCATGCAAATTTACCATATTAAATCACCGGTGAGACTCAAACACACACAGGACCTTCCACTCTGATTGTAGAAATTGTGAAATAAGCTAAATTTCTCAAATTGAAACTAGGATTACATAAGTATATATGTAAATGATAGGCCTTGGGTTAGGCCACAAACATACAAGTCAACATATCCATATATATTAATAGTGAGTCTTTCTATTTCTTCAACCTTCTATTACTAATTTGTGTAATTTTGTATTCATATGGATATATTAAAAAATACTCACCCAATAATAATATCAGACCTTTAATGGCTATCATGATGAGAGTCTGGTAGCTATCAAAATTGATCTCAAATTGTATTCTTCTTTATTGAAATTAGTCAGTAGTATTATGCTAACACACTTCACGTAATTACCAAAGTAATTTTTTCAAAAAATATCACATTAAATAATCGTATGATTCCCACATGAATTAACAACTCTTTCATACCGTATACTGATAATATAACACCTACAGGGGGAACTACACTTGCATCGAATCTAATTGAATAGAATTGAATCACCAAATTGCTCAATTTTCAGTCACTATGACTACCATTTTTATAAAAACAATTATCAGCTAAGTAGAGCTCAAAGGAAAATTAGATCTCCCTTAGGATTGGCCAACCTTTCCGCAAGATGTCGTTGATCTTGGCATCAATATGCCTCTGCTTTTTCCGAGGGCAAAGCTCTGCTGCGTACCCGTTCAGCTTTGTTGCTAGGCTAGAGTTTCCCAGCTCTTCTTCACCCAAGTTGCCGATTAATTGCAGAAGAAATGGATTTCGTTTAAGCTCGAATTTCTACAGGTGCAAACAAACAATTTTACACATTTCTCTGCAATGAAGGAATACTAATAATTTTCTGTCAAAAGACAGACACACAAGCCTATACGATAACAGAAATTTGTTAATAATAATAAGAACAAACCTGGTGTTCGGCCTCTGCAGGATAAAATGTTTGCAGGGGCTGGACTTGAGTGGTGACAATGCTGGTCTTTGATCGTGTTTGCTCCCTTTCTTTACTGATAGCAGCTAATCTTGATTCCTCGGTTCCATTAGTGAAAATGATAGACCTACACAGACAAATTCATATGTGATGTTAATATGCTTCTTTCGTGGGGTACGACTACCCACCCCACATTTGCACATGAGAAGGTGAAAAACACGTACCTGTATTGACTTCCGACGTCAGGGCCTTGTCCAAATACTTGCCTAGGGTCATGACTAGCCCAGAAGGTATCGAGTAGTTGCTTGAAACTAATAATCCTGGGATTATATTCTATCTGCAAGGCATTGACAGAAGCACATAAGAAATCCATATCAAATATCTCGTATGTGCAGCCAAAGAGAACCACAGACATTCGTTTGTATGTAAGTTTATGTTCGACACCCAGATCTCATGCATATGTTTCAATAGAAAAATACATACAGCTACAACAGAACATGTATCTGGCGACCAGAAAAAAGAAATAAATTAAAGAATGGGCTACAACAGAGAGCATGTTTCTACTAGTAGGCTTGTTCGCCATTTAAACATCAATGTTGGACATTAATTGGACAATTTAACAACATAAAGTCATGTTACACTGAAAATTCTAATTATTCAATGGAGTTCAAGAGAAAATTCTTTAAATTTCTGCCATATGATATTAAAAGCCACATCTTTTCTCAGAGCAAGAAATTAACCCCTCATGCACCGAAAGGGTCATGGGCGTCCATAGATTTACAGTTGTTACTTTTAAGGTCTAGTAGTTGATTTTTGGCTTCTATTTATGCATATCCTATGATCATCATGGAAGAAATCTATCTTACTATTGCTTGAATCACTTAGTATGATATTCTAGATATAGATCAGGAAATCTTTCTACCTTTTATTTCTAACAAAATTCTAACTTGAAAGTTGGAATCAGCACACAGAATGCCTGCAGTTTATTTGGGTGTTCACCCGACAAAAATATTTTACTGTGAACTGCTTATGTGAAAATAAAGTCGAAAAAACAAACACAGCCTTTTTCTTTATCCTAATTCCAACTAAGAAGATGCAAAAGAAACAATTAATAGCAAGGGGGAAGGGTAAAACTAAGCAAAGCTCACTAGTCGCAACATTTTATTCTAGGTAAGTCATACAGATAAAAACAGCATACGTTGTTGCTTTAGGCACCACACATTATAAACATCTATGTTCTATACTATGATATACTTTTCTTCACTAAACCATTCACTGCCCACACCTTAAGTGACTTTGTCCATTACCGGTAGATGCAATTGCATTTTACTATTGAGTAAATATTTTACATTTCTTTTTTTAAAAGATAAAGAAAAATCCTCACTTTACCATATACATGCTTTGATACAATTTTTCTAGAGAACCTAACCTCGAGTGCCAATCTAGCTTTGTTACTTCGATGAAAATAGAAGAGGTTTTGTTTTGTTTTCCTCATTGAAATATATAAAAGAATACCTTAATGAACAACTACTGACTACAATGATAAACAAAGAACCAAAAATCAAATCCTAGGCTTCCTGTAATTCTAACTTCTATCAGGGGCAACAAAAATTTATGATACCCACGCCAAATCCGACGGGTTTGCATGACCCTTAAACTATGGTTAATTCTAATTTATATGGCACAACTATTAACTACAATGGTAGTGATACTCTAGGAAATAACATTAATTCCAGGCTTCCTGTAAATCTAATTTCTATCAGGGACAACAAAATACTATGATACTCACCAAATCATATGAATTTGCATGACACTTTTATGGTTAACTAAATATTTCTATCTAATTAATATGAATCAATCACATACTGTGATCAGGAGTAATATCTTTCTTGCCTTATCCTCTAAAATCTGTACCTTGCTTCACCCTATCAAACATCCAATTGGACAAACGAAGGAAAAACTATTAGCAATTCCATCTAGAGTAGAAGTTAATAGTAGAGATTTGAAATGCTGACAATTGTAAAAAATGCATAAACTGAAGAGGCTCAAGAGAAAGTGATGTTGGTATTACAATAGGACTTTTGGAATATAGAATAAAGATTCCCCTTGCAGTTGTAGATCAAGAATAACCTATCTAGCCATGAAAAACTCCTCTAAAAATGAGAGATACTAAGAACACAACAGGCCTTAGGCAGTCACCTGCTGATGTTTGAGATATTAGGCAACATAAATCTTGAATCACTTTTCATATGCCTTGAATTAGAGAATGTATTCCAATAAGAAAAAAATCCTCGAGAAAAGAAAACAGTGTTTAGCAAAGTTACAAAATGCGCAAAGATTGCAGTTCATTAAGCATATCATAACTCATACATCAAAGTAATCTTAATGTTCTTTTTACAACAATCAGTTCCATACCACATATATCAAAAATTTTAGTAGCGAATGAAGCAAGATTCAGTGCGGATTAAAGTTTTCAACTTTGCCTCTTGGTTGAGGCCTTACTCGTCAATATGCAGGTTTTCCAACCTTAAATCATATAAATAACTTTTCCCCAAATAAATTGTTGCTAAATCCTATTCCTCTGGAATTAATTCATGTACAAGACTAGCCAGATGCACCTTAGCTATGAAGTCAACTGAAAGAAGATTAAAATCCCGGTTAGGATTGTTCCTAATATGTTCTTTAGACTTATTGCCATTCTAAGAGCAAGTAGTCTCCATGGTTAGATAAGGACTCGAGAAATCCTAGAAACTCATTATAGATTTAATAATTACTCATCATGGGTTACCATTACACATGTTAATTGATCTTCATCCCATATCCATAATTCACACAAACGCAGCAGCCACTATCAAATATAAATCACTAAGAACTACAAAAACATAAATATATATATATATATATATAGAGAGAGAGAGAGAGAGAGCCCCTACATTGTAAACAAATTATGAAAAAATAACACAAGTAAAGGGACAAGATGACAACCTGAACACACTCTGCGTGATCGCCTAAGTTACGAAATTCAGGATTAGCCCTAGATCCACCGGAATAGCCTACGGATGTCCTTATGACGCCGTCCAAGCATCCAAAAGCAGCCTCGGACCTCCAAAAACTGCCCAAGGCGAAGACCGCCGTTCTAAGAGGTTGATCTGAAATGACATTCGGATTTTCGGAGATGTGATCCGGAAATCTGATGCCCGAAACTGGATTTTCCACCCACGAAATGATTATCAACAGGAAAACTGAAGCAATCAGCTGCATTTTTTCTCGACGCTGGAAGACTGCAACTTGGAATGCAGAAATTATGAGTGAACGTGGGCCAAATTGTACTTTGGTACACCAAATTGCAGCCCATACGTTTTGGCCTCATATTAAGAACAACTGTCCAGAAAATCGTTGCAAGTAACAAAAAAAAACGCTAAAACGGCGATAAATCGGTCGTATCCTCTCAATCGTCTCCAATATCGATTTCGCATAACATAACAGAAAACTCACCGAAATTGCTGAAAAAACTTGAAAGATTGTAACAATTACATCTCTCTTTACAGTAAAAGAATGGAAACACTGAACTCACCAGATTTTTTCAAAACCGCCTCACACAAAAAGACAAGCAGCTCCGGAGACGAAAAGGGCGCAGAGAAGAAGACAACGACCGCAGGAAATGAGGTTTACGGCACGTGGATGTCGCGGACAATGAAGAGACGAAGATTGCGATGAATTTGTGGGACGAAGAAGACGCTGCAGATCTAGGAGACAGGACTACTGCGGATCTGTGAGACGCAACGACGGTCGACGGGCGTAGCTTCAATTTTTATTTTTTAATGTTAAGTATAAAAAAAAAAAGAAAAAAGAAATACACAGCATCAAATACTTCTTTGTCATAAAATATTAAATTAAATGTAGTATTTATTTTTTACAATTTTACAAAATTTGGTTTGAATTTGATTTTTGAAAATAAATTTTTTAATAATAAAATTTTAAATATAAATATTTATTTGATATTATATAAATATATTTTTATTTAGATAAATATATATTTTTTTGTTTAATTTGACCTAAACAATTTATATTTTTTCTTTTGAAAAAGTATTTATATATTTTAATTTTATAATTTATAATATTTTTAGTTTTTAACTAAATTATTTTTTATTTTAATTTTAATACTCCATCTTTTTCAAAATTATAGTATGACTTGTATTTGGCACGAGATTTAAGAAATATTAATATTATATTAGCGGCCAATAAAAATGAGATTATTGTTTTAGGACGTACAAAAATAATAAACAAGACTGTTGTATTGAGACGGAGGGAGTATTACATTATTTATTTTGATGATCAATCTTAGATTAGATATAATATACTAATATGTGTTTGCCCGGGTACATTTTATTCGAAATATACTATTTCGGGAAGGTTTTCAATTTTGAGATTTTTATTTATGATGTGATGGCGAAAGTTTTACGAATTTAAAGTCGTCTATAATTGGTCATCTGTCAAGTTTATTTTTTAATTTTGTGTTCGAGTTTTGTCTTTGATTGTTTGTTATAGTTCATAACAAAGGGTGGCTTTCGATTGCGTGAAAGTCCCGTTGTTTTTTTTAAAGCTCCGGTGAGAGTTTTATATTTCTAACTCGGTGAGAGTCTTATTGTTTTCGACTTCAGTGAGTGTCCTGTAATTTTTTGGTTCCGGTGAGAGTTTCGTATTTCCGACTTTGGTGAGAGTCTCGTTATTTGCTATTCTATTGAGAGTCCGGTTATTTCTGACTCTAATAAGAGTCCGGTTATTTCTGACTCTAATAAGAGTCCCATTTTCGATTCTAATTAAGTTGAGAGGACTGCTTCCGGCATGATGAACGACTATCTTCTGTTACACAATTTGGAGTTTGAGAGGACATTAGATATTTTAAATATTTAATTTTAAATTTAATAAATTTAAATGACCGGAGATTATGTGTTGATCCGACCAAATCAACATTATGCTGATTTGATCGAATCAATACATTATACAGATTAATAATATATATTTATACACATCTCAACATATGAATAATACTAACATATATTATATTATAAGTATAAGCATACTCTTATAGCAGAATCTATACTTAAAATATGATTGTACACATAATATATGCAGCATAAATTTATTTATTATAATTACCAGTTTTTTACTAAGACAAATCTTTTTTATACTTATATGAAGTGTGACTTATAACTAAAATATAATTATTATAATAATCTTAAGCATAACCAATTAAATTGGACCTCACATTATATTTAGCCAATTCCCAAGACGTGTATGCATATTCAACACACACATATATATATATATATATTTTTCCAAACAGTATCATGAGCTGCTTGTGTTCTTCCAATAGCTAACAGTTTACAATAACTGTAAAAATTGAAAATTTCTAAGCTAAAAAATAAAGAATGTAGAAAGAGAGAAGTTGTCATCGTACAAATAATTCTCATCAAGAACAAAGAAATGAAAATAATTAAAATTCCAATAATTCGTATCTCTTTGAAGGCTATTACATTATATCAATTTATTATAACAGTGGCAGATTTTCACGTTATAATATATATATATATATATGATATCATCTCATCGTCATGGAAAACAATGAGCAGAAATCTTGTTCATCGCAAGGTAGGGTTATCCCGCAATCGTGATGAAACCCGAACTCTTCCTCAGCCATGTGTAGCAAGTTTTGGAACTCGGGATAGGCCAAGAACCTTATCGGCACGACATATCTACTTCTATTTTCCCCAACATACACTGCAAAATGCCCCTTGGGGACGGTGACGTTGTTCGTGCACGCCTTCTTGTTAAGTGTTGCGGCGCGCTTATTGATTATAATTTTCTTGATGAGGGAGCTTGCATTGTTCGAAGGCGACGAAGACGACGACGAAGAAGAAAGGGTAGTTGTTGTTGAGGTGCTTTTGCTAGCTTTCCAAATGGCCATTTTTGGAGTGTAACAAGATACTTAGAAAGATAAGGATTTGTAGGTTAATAATCAAGAAAGTGGATGATATGGCGGGGGAAAATAGAAGGGGGACTTGGCCCTATTTATACAAATCACACTATAAAATCAAAATAAAAATAAATTGGGTATAATTGGGAGAGAAAATCTTTTTTTTAAAAAAAAAATAAATAAATAAAAACATGTGATGTGTGGGGTAAAGAACCCTTTGTTCTTAGGATGGTCACATAAAGGCTAACTGGTGGGGAATCTGCCCTTATTGCATTTATACCTCTTGTTTGCCTTCATACAGACAATATATACATACATTTTATACGAGGACTATGACTAAGTGTATAAATATATATATATATGTATGTATGTATATCTGATCATATAATGATGAGTTGAGTTGAATTGAGCTGCTACTCATGATAGGAAAATGGACAATAGACGTAAATAGTAAGGCATTATATTGTATAATACATGTTGAAATTTGACCTATTATCCGAACCCGACCAGCAACCCAAATTCTAAAACCCCAACCGACCCGCCCCTTCAAAACCCTCTCCTTCCCTTTTCTTTCGGTGAGTGAAAAATAGAATTAGTTTGTCGTCTTCTTCTTAGCGCAATTTTTTGTGGGTTTTTTAGGGTTACCTTCTTTGTTCTAGTTCAATCGTTCTTGTTTTCCAATCCTTCTTATAAGTCGTTCCTTTGCATGTTCTTTGTGAGTTTCTTGAAAGATCGGTCGATTAGTCGAGTTAAGGTTCGAATCCATCGGATTGAGATTTGTTTAAAGGCCAATGGATAAATTTAAGTGAGTCATTCACCAACTAAATAGAGACGGTAGATGAGTGAAAATAAAAAATTAAATAAAACCACGACAATACACATGAATAATATATATATATATATAATCACCCCCTCGAGAGTATAAGACCAATATCTCTAATTATCTTTTATTTTTAGCTTTAATTTTTTTTTGAAATAAAACTGTTGTTTTTTAGCATAAGACCAAGATCATCCGTTTTTTTGATTTGTTTTGGATTAAAATTATGAACTTGCTTTGGAAATAGATGATTGGGGTTGCATTATTTTTTGGAGTAAAATTTGAAACTTGCAAATGGATATAATTATTTAATGATTGGAGATAAACTTGTCAAACGGTTCTTAACCAACAACTCCAATAATTGGTTTTTATTTATTTATTTATTTATTTTCCAAATATACAAATTTATAAAATTGTAAAAGGAATGTTGTTATGTCGCGAGAATATTGCAATTTGCTGAAATTAGATTCATAAGTTATAATAATAATAATAATAATAATAATAATACAGCTACATAAGGTAACTAATTGAAATTTAGAAGAAATAAATCGTTAATTAGAATAAATAATACCAAATTTACATGGACAAAAATGGCCGAATAAATTAAAACTATTTAGCTACAGAAAAAGATCACAAGCTGGTAATAGAATAAAACCACACACACACATATATATATATATTCTAGAAAGAGTTAGATTTTAAAAACCATTATTACATACACTTATATTAGCATTATTTAGCACATTCAAAACCTTTATAAATCACTAATTTTGCGAATATATATTGTTAATTAGAAATATTTTCAATTTTCATTTTGGCATATGGTCAAAATCTTTTTCGCCTGCAACATCTGTCTTCAAAATTCATTTACAGTATTGGATTGGGTCAAATTGCAGACAGACTGTCTATGCAATATAATGTTTTGCATTTATCTTTTGTCTTCTTTGTCTCTTCTCTACAAATACATTCGAAAAAACAAATTGAATGTTTTAAAAAGGTCAATGCACTATCAAATACATTGAGAGACAGACTATTCCATATAAATGTAAACAAAAATTAAATGCAGGATTTCTTCAAACCATTTTCCAGAAGTTGTGTATACAACTGGGACAGAAAGAATGGTTATGAGTGAGTTTAAGAGTATATTCTTCAAAGAGAATATTGTTCGAAGCTTTCACCTCTGTTTCTCCTTATCTTCATATTTTTGAATGTGTGTTTAAGAAACACCTTATTTCGGAGATCAAAATTCTAACCAGAGGAGATAATAAGCCCTGAGCTGTCTTACTCTGTAACTGTTGTTTGTGACAACCAGAGTCTGTGGTGGTAATCCAAAGTTAGCTATTGTAAAGGAATGAGTTGAGAAGGAATTTTGTAGTTGTTTTAGTTCTATAATCTTGATTATAGTATAACTTCTTTTGAATTAGAATCCCTAAATGTAGACCGCGAACCTCCCAACGAAGCTAACATAAACTTTCATAAATGAATTGGGTTATAAAATATCTTGTCTCATTTATTATTTTAGAATTCTGTATTTATTACATTGATATGATATTATTATTGTGACCTAACCTCGAAGAAGTTTTGATCAACCCCCATTTTTTAATATATATGATGACTATATCCACCGAATAACAGTGAAAACACTGCACACAATGTCCCGTAAGGGATGACATGGTGGTGTAGGGGTTGGATTTGTGACCGTGAGGTCATGGGTTCAAACCCCCGACGCCTCAAGTCACCTGCCACACATGGTTCGTCCAGTGTGACTTTCCCGGCCAGGAGTTTACCCAATGTGCGACTGCGGGTTCCCATGTCATCAAAAAATAACTATTTTAGTTCAATATTTTTTTTTTTAATTTATGAATTTCAAATTTAAATCCAAATTTTAACATGAACACATATGTCATGTCAACCTCGATATATATATATATACACATATATACACATAAATTTATTGACATTTTATGACCAAAATGTCTTGTTATCATGTTTTTGCACATTCTCAATTCCAGCTTGTTCGCATTTCAAGAGCTTGTGATATTATAAATTAATAATATTTTGAATTAATTAAAGAAAAAGCTTTGAAGATAATATTCTAAAGTATTGGATATAATATTTTAATTTTAAAAAAATATTTTGTACTGTAATATAATGCAAAACTTAAACAAGAACATTAATTTGACTTTGAGGAGTGTTTCACATAATTAATGATATATATATATATATTTATATTTATTTTTGGTGCAGAATGGACCAACTGTCTTAAGAATTGTTACATTATGTGTTTGTTTATCACTGATATATAAAGGTTGACAACTCTGTTTTTATATAGCAATAACTTATAGTTTCGACAAATAAAAATATGTGTTGTATACAAATATAATATACTTGCTATATTGTATTGAAATCAATAATATAATATGTTGTCGGACAAACGTTATCAGCCTTGATTATGCCACCTTAATTAATCACTCCGTATGATCTACATATGTCGTGGCAGTTAAAATATTAATCAACTCTAACCAATGCATGAACAATTATTTTTTACCATGTGACTGTAAATAAATTAGCATTTTTTATGTAGATTATTATTATTATTATTATTATTATTATTATTATATATATGTATACATTTGTATCCCTATTTTAGAAAACATTAAAACAATCACAACCCATTTTCATTTAAGATGATCTTGGAAACACCCCCAACAAAATTTTATATATATATATATATATGTATACATTTGTATCCCTAACATAGCCTAATGGTTCAAATGATAATCTATATAGAAATTAGGGTTCATACCATATATCCTTGTTGCATTAGTGTGTGATGTATTTTCCAAAAACAAAAACCTTTGTTTTCTTTTCTTTTTTAAATTGAAAATTTTAATATGATCATAAAAAAGACACATCACAATTTTGGGTAGAAAGATAGATTCCACACAAGAGTCACAAGGCATGACCCATGCATTAAATGCCTGGATGGTGTACAGATATGTGTGTTACGGGCTAATAATCCTGTCCCTGATTCTCGGTCATAGTCTGTGTGCGAGTCCCTGTCCTGTACAGCCCGACTAATGACCCATATCTTGGTGCAGATACGTATTCCGCATGATTTTCTCATACTATATGGTATATCTCGGGCGTGTTGCGCATAGGAGACGGCTGGTCTAGACCTCAGCGCGGGCATAGCCTAGACGCCGGGCGTGTCAGCTTCCGAACACATTACATATGTGTTGGCTTTGTTGGACAATTAACTTAATTTGGGAAAATTTTCAATCCAACATTATTTTGGGTTTTCACTCACTTAACAATATTTTATCACTTACAGAAATAAATAAATAATCAAAATAACTAAATAATTATTCAATTTTGGATATGAAATACTCGTCTATTTTCTAACCCAAGTCAAAGGATCCATTAATTTCCTCACAAAGACTGAATACAAATGATTATTTATTATCAATCCATACATTTTTTACAAATACATGTTTCTAAAAGAATTTGTTTAGTTGGCACCCAAAATTGATTTCTTTACAATTCACATTCATAATAAAAATAGAATACATTTTCTTATAAAATATGAAATTTAAATAGCTACCAAAACAAAAATTTAAATAAAAAATTCAAACCAAAATAGAAACCAAACATATTCTTCTAAGTTTCTCTCTCCATATATATTGCTATTTAGGCTCCACAATATTAAAAAATATCTTAAAATATTATACCAAATGTTATTTAACTAAGAAACCAAAACTTTCAAACTCTACGAAGTTGAAAAAGAAACACACAATGCCTACTAATAAATAAAAGAAATGGCCACACTTTATACTATTTGTCAATATTAAAATAAAAATAAAAATAAATAATATTATCTGAAATTGAAATGTTACCATTTACTTTTTCAATATAAAACTACTGACCATTATGTACGAATTATGTGTGACAGGTGATCTGAAGCGTCGGAAATTTGAATCCATAACTTATTTTATTTTATTTTATTTTTATATATATAAAACATCGTATCAACATATAATACTAAATAAACACAGGGACAAACCCTCAATAATTTAAGGTAAACTCATTACATCATGTTATCCATTAAAGTTCAACAGAGAGACAGCAAATTAAAGGTCTGCCTTCAATGGAGGAACTAAGCTACAGGTTTCAATATACAAATATATATATATATATATATAGATATCAATTAATTTAGAGCTCCAGATTC